GGAATCCCTGCCGCCATCATAAGTGTCAATCCAATTGTCTGGAAAACTGAAGTGAACTTGGTGAGATGGACCCTCGGAGGGCTGAGGGAGCGAGTGAACAACGATGGTCACTCCGAGGTGGATATCACCCACAATGATGCATTGCAGTTTATGTCATTGCCGCTATAACGCAGAGTAAGGGCATGTGCGTTTCATTTAAATCCCCCGCTCCTCCCCGGCACCTCCCCCGCCCACTTTCCCTCCGCGCTCCAAGTGGCCTCCGTGCGACGTATGCTGTTACGTCATACCAAGGGCTGAGGGTAAGTGAACGAGGGGAAGTGGAACTATTAATGAAACGCAGCCCTTGTGTGGGGCAGGGGGTGTGGCTGGCTCCTCCTGATGGCAGCAGAGGCACACCTGAATTCACTCAGCCTATTCCCTCCACCTCATTAGCCCGGTCTTCACGCCTGCTTGCTGCCAGAATACTCCTTGCTCTCACTCTGCATGCTGTTCTCCTACGTTACCTGTGTCAAGATTCGCCTGTGCAATTCTGCAGAAGACTTCCACCTGCCTGCTTCTGTTCTGGTTTTGGTTTGGATTGTTATTAAAGAATTTTCAGTTCCCACTCACCAGTGTGTTTGCATCTCTGCTTTGACGTCCAGGACTTACAGATCACAACAACAATGATAGAGGAGTACACTAATGACCACTAACTTTCATCTGTGAAAAGTAGAAGTAAATGTATAAGTATTTTCTGTAAAATAATGTCATTTTTGGAAGAAGATAGAAATTGTTATTGCTTTTCATACTATTGTAATTTCACATGTGGGTTAATGTTGTCCATTGAAGGAATTGTTGGTCATTTTGGGGAAGGGGTTAATTTGCTTTCGTGCCAGTAGTTAGATTAGAAAACTGATACCAGTCTTATGTACCTCTTATGTCTGTGCAGGAGCACTTTCAGCTACAGACTCACCCAGCCCCGAGCCTCAAAGCGCTTAGTTTGTGCAATCAGCCATTTGACTGCACAACACCCAGCACCCAGCACCCCCCCCACCTCCGCTGACTAAACTGTCAACCATTAACCTGACAAGCACAACAGTTTTTTCTTTTATTTGCACAATACCCTTTAACAGTGCACATGTACAGTTATACACTCCAGTTACCCATCTGGACCATATTCAACTATATTGTATATAGTGTATATATTTTATATATTCTAGATTATATTTGTATTTATATTTTATTTTATTATACTTGTTTGCATTACATTCCCCTTTGATGCTGTGCCTAATGCGAATTTTCCTTTCGGGGGATCAATAAAGGAACATCTTATCTTAAATTATTGCTGATGGTTACTAAACAGTGAGCAATTCCTGAATGTTTCCTTGATGTGATAATACAGTAGCTTTGAATTGAAAAAAAAACTATTTCCTGTAAGAAATGAACAACTAAGAAAATAAATCATACTCATTACATGACGTTATCATGTAATTTCTGTTGTATTCTGACTGGATCTCTCCATGTGAAGTCACAGTCAGGATGCCGAACATTTGCACTGAAGTCATTGTGATACCATAAGCATATTCAGACAACTGGAATGAGGTCAAAGGACAAGGTCTTCTGGTTCTCTGCTGCTATTCTTTCCACTTTTATGGTATCACAGTGACTTCGGTGCAAATGTTTGGCTTTAATAACCACAGGAAACATTTTTCTTGGAGTTTTGTTAGCATTTTGTTCATTACTTATCAAAATGTCCTCAATACAGTTTGATATTGTATGATACCTCAGAATGTATGGTACACTACCATTTTGTTGCGAGTTTCGCTGTCCATCATAGTTTCTCCTACACCCTTAGAAGGTTGAGCTGTATTAAAATGTACAATCAATGTTAGATGCCACTGAATCCTTCACACTGGCCCTTTAAAAAACAGTGTCACAGGAATGAAGAAACAATAACTACTGGCCGACTGGCTTTGTGAATTGTACAAGAAGTGTTTTTATTCAATTCAATTCAATTCAATTTTATTTGTATAACGCCAATTCATAACAGAAGTTATCTCAGGACACTTTTCAAATAGAGCAGGTCTAGACCGAACTCCTTATAACATTTACAGAGACCCAACAGTACCAGTTTTATGCATACAACATGCAGATGTTTGATTTTGCACTTTTTAGAATGTTAGCATGCCAACATTTGCTAATTAACCCTAAACAAACAGCTGAGGCTGATGGGAATGTCATTAGTTTTGCAGGTATTTGAACTGATGATTAGGTAAGACAAAAAGAGTGATCAAAGTTCATATAGTTATAATCCATTCAATTGTCAAGATACTGTATTTCATTTAAAACCCATCCAGCTGTTGAGACATTATAGGCTGGACCAAAGTGTTGAACCAACCATAGATGAGAAAATCTTCCTTCCTATTCGAGGTATGGGCTTTACTTATTCTGGTTTATTTGGAATACATAAACAGACATAGACTCAGGTCATTAGCATGAGTAACTCTACTGGGGCTATTTCTGTGTTCCCATTGTCCTGTGTTCCCCAGATTTCTATTACACATAATGAAAAGATGACGAAGAGTCCTATGTCCCCAAGTCCTAGGGTTAGGTAAGGGATTACTGGCAAAGCATAGGCAGCCATTTCTTCTATGGCTAGTTAGCCTGTAATTAGTACTTGCCTTGAAATAAAAATTAAGGATAGTATAAACTAATCATAAGAGAATTAATGAACTGAGGATGAAAGGAGAAATGTTGTTTGGACAAAGTACACTTCCAGGGTTAGAGACCTTAGAACCCTTGGAACATAGATAGTCTCTGGCATTACCCACAAAGCACCACCCACAGACACTCAAAACTCAGCAACCAGAAAGTCCACACAGACACACAAACGTAACAGTGGGCTAGTGCACACACTTTTTGATAAATGCAGAGAGCATTCATCTTTTAAAGCAAAGCATAACAACAAACTATGTTTTCTTATTTTATTTTCCATGATTGAATTCATATGATATGTTAAACTATTTAAGCAGTTTTCACCCAATAGAACAACTAGAAATATCTTAATTGAGATAGAATATGGCTATAGGAGGCAAAGCAGCTACAATGTATATTATACACTGTGCCAGCTCAGGGAAGAGACTCTTTAACCTTCAACTTGCTGCCTGAAGCCTCCTGAGATAAGCTGGAAACTTTCAGAAATGGAAATCCAATTTCCCAACAATCTCTGTGTCACTGATAAAGTTAAAGCATGAGCTGCTGTTCAGTTAAGTCTGTATAATAATCTTGGGTAGTTAATGTTAAGCCTGTGTTACTACTGTGAGGTTCAGTGACACTGGTGAATTGAATAGCCCCCAAAAATGGCAGTCTTTTCCCCCACAGTTTAAAAAAATGATTGCTGAGGATCATAATTGAATGCGTGATTCAGTTCTTCCATATCAGCTCATTTAAATCTCTACTATCTAGTCCTGATAGCAAAGTGAACTTTCAGTCCTGAACCCATCCATATGCGACGTCATGCATGATAATGTGCACCATAACAGCTCCCACTACACCCTTTTGTTTGTGTGGATGTTTTTTTACATAATGCTTCACATGATGGTGAAGTTTTGAAAGATGAATAACTGTATAAAATGTATTAGGAGGACAATTAATAACTATATATGAAAGGAATTATGCAGACAGTAAAAGATAGAAAGGCAGAAAGGATCTTTCCAGTTATCTAAGCTTACCTTGAGTTCACCATGGTTCTTTTATGATCCCTTTTCTTATGCTGCTCCTCCTGGAGGGTATCCCACTGTTGTATCGGCCAACAACCTAGGAAGGGCAGTGTAGGGGTTCAGGCAGCGTTTAACCCCTATATGACAGGAATGGCATGCATGAGTGATTTTTGGTCCAGTAGAAAATTCTTGAAATCTGTTTTTCCCATCTTGAATTAGTGTGTTGGATGCACGTCTATTGCTATCTATATGGACAAAAACATGAAAAAAATAAATATAAGGCATTTGTAATTTATAAATCATTAAATATGCTGTGAATTTGAAATTCATATATCGTTATATCTGTTCATTTTCATATAAAAAGTTTCAAAATTTCAGATTTTTTTGCCTTTTGACAAATATGACTTAATTTATTTACTGAACTGTTGCTTTTTGGTGGTATATTTTATATTTAACAGTAGTTGATGCACACACTATATATAGACACATATATATCTTTATGTGCATCCTTAAAATAACCCGAGATATGACTGCTAGATATCTTCTGTAAATGCAGACACCTGTCTTGCTTTGGTTAATAATTGTATGAGAAGGGCACACGGATAAGGCTTATATGAAATTTGAGCTGCTTAACAATTAAACTGCAAAGGAGAAGAAAAAAAAGGCATAATGAGAAAAGAAAAATCACTTTAATCTGTGACTGTTTAATGACTGCTCCAAACCAAAGCATGGTTAAACATTTGAATTTCAAGTTTAAGAGAACATGGACCAAATATGCCTTCACAGACTAAAATATAAGTGTGTACATCCCTATTCCATAAAACAATCTGATTTCTCAAGGACTGGAAAAGGCGTTGCCTGGTAGTTAAGATAACCTATGATGGAAAACATGTTGCCTCTGGCTGTGTGAGTGTTTCATTCTTGTCTAACAAACAGACACAAAAACTATTATACTATACTAACTATTATAATCACAGTTTATTGTTTCAATATGTTAGCTGGTCAACAGTAAAATCTTATAGTTTTAGTAACTGAAATTATTTTACTGTAAGTAAACGCAATGATCACCTTTTTAAACTTGTTTTGATATACTGTTCGTTTGTTAACATCAAATCATATTTTATCATTTCCCTGACATACTCATGAATACCAAATTCATCTGGAAAATGTTGGTGATGGTACCTCGTGTGATGTATTAATAATTATCAAAAAGGGTGCACATTTTCAACTAGCTGACATTACAACACAGACTATAATGAGCTACTGATAACTGCAGTTTAGGTGCCATAGGTCACGGTAAATACCTCAGTGCCCGTTCGTAGGACACCCAGTAGAGGTAAAGGACTCAGAGAGAGAGAGACAGTCCACAGAGGAGATTGTATGAGAAAGGACACATCCCCTTGAAGGTTTGCAGGGAAGTAGCAACTGGTTACCAAAGGGAGGCTCAGCAGCTATAGTTTCCAGTTACCATCGTCCAGTGTAGTTTACGAGAAGCCACCATGAAGCTGAAGTTACCAAACCCAGGACTGGATGACCGGATCCCCTCTCATGGGGACCTGGAGAAGATGGAAAAAGAAGAGGCAGGGGACAGGCCCAAGTGGGACAACAAAGCCCAGTATCTGCTCACCTGTGTGGGCTTTTGTGTGGGACTCGGCAACGTCTGGAGGTTCCCTTACCTGTGTCAAAGCCATGGAGGAGGTAAGGATGAGCCTGGGTGTTCTCTGATTTTAGCTCTTTCACACAGACATAAAAACTAAGAGTCAAGCAATGTGTGTGAATTATTAAAAGGATCCAAATGTGTCTTTAACCATTTTAAATAACTCAATCTACTTTTAGTCACAATTAAACCTTGTACACTTAACACATACACTGACACATTTGAAGGGATTTATTCATTAAAACAGAATTTTAAATTTTTTTGCAAAACTCATTTTGTGTATGTTTATAAGTGCAAGCATATGTTTACTGACTGCAGAGAAACAGTAGTGGTAGCAGTCATTTTGATCATTAAAAAAAATTATACAAATGCCTGTTCATCCTAAACTGAGACCTTTAAAGTTTAAAATCAACCAACAAATCCTCATAAAATATTCTTCCAATTTAAATAATATCAACTGGCAATTTTGTTCCTATTGAAATGACTTACTTTTCCTTCACTTCCTCAAATTCTACACTTCGTAAAAGTGAATATTTTATTCAAGGTTTAAGTAGTACAGAGTGAGGTTATAAAACATGTAGTGTCCATTCACACTTTATAGGTGTCTTTATGGGAACATTTTGTGAATGAAGTCCACAGCTAAAGTGCTGATAAAGTGACTCACTCTGTACATTGTAAATTGATATAATGTGAATGTTATACTTCTAGGAGCATTTATGATCCCATTCCTTATCCTGCTGGTCCTGGAGGGAATCCCACTGCTGCACCTGGAGTTTGCCATTGGACAGCGACTGAGGAAAGGCAGCGTGGGAGTGTGGAGATCAATCAGTCCGTACCTGACAGGAGTTGGTGGGTGAAATAAGGCATGCACATTAAGTTGTGTATTTCTTTTTAAGACATGCTACTTGCATATGTCTCCAGAGATAGCAACCAGGGTGAATTCTAATTACTTTGGCCATCCCTTAAAGGTCCAGTGTGTGACATTTAGAAGGAGCTATTGGCTGAAATGGAATATTATATTCTTTGGTATTTTCATTAGTGTATAATCACCTGAAAATAAGAATTGTAGCCCAGAACAAACAAACCAAACACTGACTTTAGGGTGCCCTTCACGTTTTTCATGGCCAGCATACTTTCTGCTTCAAGTCAAAGGGTGGTTGTAATCTGCAATCCCACCACTAGATGCCACTAAATCCTACACACTGGTCCTTTAACTAGTCTTCTAGCGCCATCATCAGGTCAAACCTTTTCCTCCAATAGCCTACATATACCAGTGCCTGCAAAACTAAAGGCATTCCCATGAGCCTCAGCTATTCGCTGTGTTTAGTTCTAATAAGCAAATGTTAGCATGCTAACATGTTAAACCAAGATGGTATATAACTGCTTAGCATCAGCATGTTGCCATTGTGAGCATGTTAGCTTGCTGAAGTTAGCATTTAGCTCAAAGCACGGCAGTAAGTACAGCCTCACAGACTCTTTGTCTCATTTTGTTGCAGGTATTGCGTCCATGCTTGTCTCATTTCTGGTGGGCATGTATTACAACACCATCATGGCCTGGATCATATGGTATCTCTTCAACTCCTTTCAGGATCCTCTGCCTTGGAGTCAATGTCCTCTCAATGCTAACAGGACAGGTATGCCTTATTGACAGTATATATCAAGAGAACATTCAGAGAGGCTCTAAAAACCCATCTGATGTACAGTTTGTGGTAACATCTCCTTCCAAGGTTGCTGACATCCTGTTCTTTTCCTTTTGCTATCTCTTTCCTTTGCAGGTCTAGTGGAGGAGTGTGCTCGAAGCAGCACCGTTGACTACTTCTGGTACAGAGAGACCCTCAACACTTCAACAGCTATCGATGAAGCTGGAGGTCTGCAGTGGTGGATGGTGCTATCCCTGGTGGCTGCCTGGATTCTGCTCTATGTTTGCTGCATCCGAGGGATCGAGACCACTGGAAAGGTCTGAAAGTCAAATTACATCTGAGTAATCTACAGCGGGAGTGATGCCTGATTTGGAGCATTAATGTTTGTTCAAATATACATCTTTGGCTCATTGTTATCGTTCTCTCATTTCTCAGGCTGTCTACATCACCTCCACTCTACCGTATCTGGTCCTCACCATCTTTCTCATCAGAGGACTGACTCTGAAGGGATCAATAGATGGAATTAAGTTCCTCTTCACACCAGATGTAAGCAATGGTGTAACACATCAACCAACAAGTGTCCTTACATTAATATCAGACAAACTTTTAAAGCAGTAGTTTTTCCATTTTGGAAATGTGCCAAAAGTTAGATGGGAAGACCTATATCACTCTCATATCTGTCCATTAAATACAAGGCAAGCTGTTTCCAGTGCTAAGCTAAGCCAACTAGCGGCTGGCGTTAGCCTGAAATAGTCCATAAGTGGTATCAATCTTTTTGGGAAGAAAGCAAATAAGCTAATTTTTGTTAAAAACGATTTCTAGTGTCTTCCAGTGCACAAAGTGTTCATCTATGTATCATTTATGAATACAGAAACTGCCTCAAGTGCTTCTGAAATACCAAAGATACACTGTAAGCAAAGATAACCACTATGGCTGAAAAGAACATTTGCAAATTCACATTTGAATTGAAGATTCATTTAAGTGTTTTTGTGATTTTCGTCACACAAATTATAAAAGCTGAAAATTAAAGTTCAAACATACTGCCAACAAATGAATAAAACATCAGTGCATTTTCACTAATGATGTGGTCATTTGACACATTGACAAATTATGAGTAACAGATAACAACCTTAAAACCAATTTAGTATGTAAATTAATTGATTTATCACAGTATCACTTTTTATGATGTTATTCTGGTGTACAATATGTCCACACATTAATTATTTAAGGACAATTCCAGCGCAAAAGAACCTGGGGTTAATAACACATGTGTACCGAGTTTGTCTGTTCGCTGGGATATGTTTTCATTCTAATCGAACGTGACCAGTTTTAGCACAAACCGCTAATTACCTTATAACGCTAGTCAACGGGGCACAGACTAACGTGAAAAGAAATCACTATTTCTATACCACTAAAAAGGCTCAAAATAGCACCACACTTACACGGCAGCATAACGAGAGCCCCTACTTGTAAACCGAAGCATTGAGAACTTTGTAAGTGTACAGACAGTCGCGACCAGTCGAAGTCTCTGAGATGTGAAGTGAACGCACCATCTCGCGTGAAACGTTGTTGCCGGAAAAAAGCACTGAGGGCATAAGAGATTAGTGCTTCCACAGGATACACACTAAAGAGATGGCAGATTATTCAACCGAATTTGAAGACATCGACAACGAACCCTTTCAGTTTGATGGACGTCCTTATCTTTTCGAGCCGGAATATACAGACGAAGAGCTGCGGGAGCTCTGTGAAAGGGCTACAAGAGAGAGAGAGAGCTACCGGTAGTCAATGCCGCAACACAGCCTCATACTTCGGGAAACTGGTGGTGTACCTGCGGACATCGTGAAGTTATGGCCACCGAAGAGGAGTGCCTGTGTTGCATGGTTTGGGACCTGTTGTGTTGCGACACCCAAGAGACGCAGTGTTTTGTACAGTCTGCAGATTTCCCCTCTCTGATAAACAGGGCTGTACTTGAAACTTTTTTCTGGCGATGTGAACTAAAATCAAACGTAATTTGCGCAATTTATCAGAAATAATCGCACGGATGTAAGACATAACTTAGTGTTACTTAGTGTACTTACTCAGTGGATAACTGTCCCTCTGGTCGCTGCCTCCACTTTATTTTTGGGACATGGAAAAAAGTTTCAAGTACAGCCCTGTTTATCAGAGAGGGGAAATCTTCAGACTGTAGAAAACACTGCGTCTCTTGGGTGTCGTGACGCAACAGGTCCCACTTCGTGCAACACAAGCACTCCTCTTCGGTGGCCATAACTTCACAATGTCCCCAGGTACACCACCAGTTTCCCGAAGTACGAGGCTGTGTTGCGGCATTGATTACTGGTAGCTCTCTCTCTCTCGTAGCCCTTTCAAAAAGCTCCCGCAGCTCTTCGTCTGTATATTCCGGCTCGAAAAGATAAGGACGTCCATCAAACTGAAAGGGTTCGTTGTCGATGTCTTCAAATTCGGTTGAATAATCCACCATCTCTTTAGTGTGTATCCTGTGGAAGCACTAGTCTCTGTTGCGTTCCATTGACTAGCGTTATAAGGTAATTAGCAGTTTGTGCGAAAACTGGTCACGTTCGATTAGAATGAAAACATATCCCAGAGAACCGACCAACTCGGTACACATGTGTAATTAACCCCAGGTTCATTTTGTGCCGGAATTGTCCTTTAACAATGGCTGAGACAGGAATAGTGTTTACTGTCAGAATATACAACAGGAAGTAATCTGCATAAAAATCTCTGCTCAGTTTTCAACATACATGTATTCTAATTTCTATACTTTTCTAGATAAATGAGTTAATGAATCCATCAACGTGGTTGGATGCAGGTGCTCAAGTTTTCTACTCCTTCTCTGTGGCTTTTGGAGGTCTCATCTCTTTCTCCAGTTACAACTCTATCCAGTGAGTAACTTCATAAACTGCACAGTCATGCAATCAACGTTCTTTTGAACAGTTCTCCTGACATGCTTGTAATTTCATTGTAGCAACAATTGTGAGCAGGATGCTGTTCTCATCTCCATCATCAATGGCTGCACCTCTGTGTACTCCGCAACGGTTATCTACTCTATCATCGGCTTCAGGGCCACGCAAAAATTTGATGACTGTCTGGGAGAGTAAGTTTCAAAATGCACAAAGGCTGCCTTGAAAGTCCAGTATGTAATGTTTAGGAGGATCTTTTAGAAGAAATGGAATATAACGTTCATAGTTGCAGTACCTTAGAATGATTTTTGTCTACAGAGGGAGTCGGTCCTCTTCTCCAGAGTCAACCATGATATACCACCATGTTTCTACAGTAACCCAGAATGGGCAAACCAAACACTGGTTCCATATGGGGACCCTAGATGTTGTCCAGCCACCGTAGTTTCTCCTCTGCAGTCAAGGGGATTTAGTTGGTTCCAATCTGCAACTTCACTGCTAGATGCCACTTAATTCTACACACTGGTCCTAAAAAAAAAAGTAATTGGGATTCAGGTATATCAGACTAAACTCATCTACCCTGTGCTTTTTTTGGCAGTAACATCTGGAAGCTGATGAATGCCTTCGACTATCCCGAAAACAACATCACAGATAGCAATTACAACGAAGTTCTGGCACACCTCAACCAGACCAACCCAGAAATCATTCAAGGATTGGAACTACAGACCTGTGACCTGCAGAGTTTCCTCAGTCAGGTCAATAGATAACATTTGGATATTTTCCCACTGTTGGTAATTTATCTATTGTTAACAATTTACCTAAAGTTAGTGTCAATGACAAAACGGTGGTTGAAATATTTGGTGTATGCTCCTTCAGGGCGTGGAGGGAACAGGTCTGGCCTTCATTGTGTTCACAGAAGCCATCATTAAGATGCCCTTTTCTCCTCTCTGGGCTGTCCTCTTCTTCGTCATGCTCTTCTGTCTCGGCCTCTCGACTATGTTTGGCAGCATTGAAGGAGTGGTGGTTCCTTTGCAGGACCTCAGACTGTTGCCCCGAACTTGGCCTAAAGAAGTTTTCTGTGGTAATTTTCAGACGTTCTTACTAGATAAAAAATACATTTTCACAGGAGTAGAAAATCTGATAGGAGCTTAACCACTTTTTTGTATTTTTTTCCCAGGTCTGACTTGCTTAATATCATTGGCTTTGGGGCTCATATTTACCCTGCGCTCTGGAAACTACTGGCTAGCTCTTTTTGACAACTTTGCTGGTTCTATCCCCCTTCTGGTCATCGGATTCTGTGAAATGTTTGCTGTTATTTACATCTATGGCATAGATAGGTGAGTCTATCCCGGAAGTGATTATCGGTACACTGCAGAGTATTCAAGGTAATGGCTTTTTTGCTGGGGACTGCCCATTATTCCAAAACCCCAATAGTCTGAAATTTGTCCCATTAGGCAGAAAGCTCATTTATCCTAAAAACAAAAGCCCACTGCTCCAACGGCCCATTTTTCCCAAAATACACACCCTCCCTCACTCCCTGGAGTTTTTTGCCCTTCATATCTCGTGTATTTGGACCATTGTCATCATGGTAACAATAATCAGGCGGCCTTTTTTCATCATAGTAACAATAATAAACATGTGGTTAACATTGTGAAACAGTTACAGTTCAGTTAGGCTTAGGAAGAGATCATGGTTTGGGTTCAAATAGGTACATTAGTTATGTCAGTTAAGCCATGTTCATAAGTAATACCATTGTGTATATCCTATACGAGTCATCAGAGCAATGGGCATTTGTTTTTGGAATAATAGGCTGGATCAATGGACTTTGGGTCCAATGGGACATTTTTGGGACTGTTGGGGTTTTGGTATAATGAGCCATTGGAGCAATAGCATGGCACCTATTAGACATGATATCGGCTTTGTGTGCTTATTGGAAAATGTTAGCTAAACATCAACATGTTAGCATTGTCTTTGAGAGCCTATTAGCATGGTGACATTATCATTTAGCTGTACAACTTCACAGAGCCTCTAGCATGCCTGTAGACTTAATCTTGTTTTTGTCATACTTGCATGAGGCAGCGACAGTTACTGGAAACAAATAAGGAAACAAATAAGGAAACAAAAAAGCATTGTATTCTGACCTTGGTACAGAGGTAATGTGTCAGTCATCATAGGACAAAGAAGTACAATGTATCTTGTGATGTTATGGTGAGAAATGTGGAAAATGTTCAGTGTTTCAATAATGCCATTGATGAAAGCTGTAAAAATGTTACTTATAAGTTTTATAAAAGTGCAAGATATTCCCTGATGTAAGGTTAGGTTGTAGACTAGGGAACCAGAGAGCTTTATTTCCTTGAAGTCTAGAGCAGCAGAAACATGTTTAACACGCACCAAGCCACACAGGCTGCTTTATTTACTGTAACTAATAAAAGTGCAAGGTCGTCTTTTATGGATGCTTCCATACACACACTGACATTATGTCTCCCTCTTACTGCTTCCAAACAGGTTTAACAAGGACATTGAGTTTATGATTGGCCACAAACCCAATATTTTCTGGCAGGTGACATGGAGGGTGGTTAGTCCACTCATTATGATCTTCATCTTGATTTTCTACTTCGTAACCCAAATCTCCAAGAGTCTCACCTATCTGGTCTGGGACCAGGAGTCGGTAAGTGTTCTCCACACAACAGTGTAAGACCTTTTTAGATGTGATGTCTTAAAATGGATTTCTTTGTGATTTTGGGAGGAACCCACTTTGAGAAATTCCACATTGAATAATTTTTCTTCTCATTAATTGTGGTTATAAAACAAACCTTTGTCATTTCAGACCACTTGTGTGTGTGTGTGTACATTGCTAGAAATTGTAACATTTTCCTTGATTCTGGCCATAGGAGAACTTCCCCACCCTCGAAGCACGTCCGTATCCTTCCTGGATCTACGTCATGATCTTCATCCTGGCAGGAGTTCCCAGTTTAGCCATCCCTGTGTTTGCCCTCTTCAAATTCATACAGAATAAATGCTGCAAGAAGGACCACAATGACTACACAGTGGACACTATCTCTGCCAAAATACAAATGAGTGACAAAATTAAGCTTTAAACATATTTGACTTTGAATATTTAATAATAAAATGAATGTGGACTTGTTTTATTGTTTGTATATTATGCTGTTCATCCTCATGCCCTGTACAATGATCGAAGAGTACACTAATGACCAATAACGTTTATCTGTGAAAAGTAGAAGTAAATGTATAAGTATTTTCTGTAAAATAATGTCATTTTTTGAAGAAGATAGTAATTGTTATTGCTTTTCATACTATTGTAATTTTACATGTGGGTTAATGTTTTCCATTGAAGGAATTGTTGGACATTTGGGGAAAGGGGCTAATTTGCTTTTGTGCCAGTAATTAGATTAGAAAACTGATACCAGTCTTATGTCCGTCTGTGCACTACTGAAGATTATTAGCAGCTGATTGTATTTATTTATACAAATGTAATATTTTGTAAATAAAATTTAATAGAGGGGCTAATTTATGTTAAAACGTTTGACATACTGTAAACATGTCTTTTTAAATATTAAAACATTCCATCAGATTTTTAGCCAACTTTTGTGTTGTTTTTATGTTTTTTTGGCATACTGTTAAGTTTAATGGTTTTGTGTATATCACAGTGCTGCACTTACACCATAAACTATCAGGTTAGTCTATATGATCTGTTAATAATCAACTCATCAGTTCAGACATAAGACCAAAATTAAGTGGTTAATATTTGAAGAAACCTTCTTCCCCTTTACTACTGATAACACTTGAAACAAGCCTCACTCAGTAGATCCTTTCTTACCACTGTGTGCCAAAGGACACCACCCAGTGTTTAACTGTAATATTTTGTTGTTGTTTTTACATCTTTTTGTAGGCCATGAAATGTTTTACATTTTACGTTTAATTATTACACTGACTGACTGAATAGGTCAAAAAAACAGTACAGAGTGTGCACTGGTTAATCTGTGTACAGCAACAGATAAAGTAAAGGATCATAAACTTTCATCATTGCTGAATCCTTGTAAGTCAATACGCACAGACTAACCCTAATGCTTCAATTGCAGTACACAACACTTGTCCACCTCAGTGTACTCGTGGTCAGCCATGAGACTGGTACTCCCTAACCCAGGACTGGATCTCCGGATCCCTAACCATGAGGATCTGGAGAGGATGGAGAAGGAGGAGGCCGGGGACAGGCCCAAGTGGGACAACAAAGCCCAGTACATCCTTACCTGTGTGGGCTTCTGCATTGGGCTCGGTAACGTGTGGCGATTCCCTTACTTGTGTCAAAGTCATGGAGGAGGTAAGCCAAATAGGGTAAATGGAGATCTCTGGTTGAGCTGTCGAATGAGTGTTTGACAAATTCAAGTGTGGTTGAGTTATCCAGGAGTGAATTTATTGTGATCTTATGTTAATTTATGGTAGTTTATGTTTTATACATTTGATGTATGATTTATATTGCTATTGCTAAATATCTAAACTGTCAAGTTAACTTATTTCACAAGAAATAAAATCACTCCCTCATGGTTACGAGAGAGTGGCATGAAGTCAGCATCAAGTTTTATTAATGATTCTCAAGAGTATAAGGACTCTAAAGTAATGTTAACCTTTGGAACGACATGTGAGCTACGGTAAGGAGACTCTGGAGTCAGCTGTTTATTGGTTAAGTTGAAACTGAATGCTAAGAATACTATGCATTCATTCACATTAAATGTGTGTGTGCGTGTGTGTGTGTGTGTGTGTGTGTGTGTGTTTGCAAATGTGTCTGTGTCAAGTGGTTGTTATTGTAATTCCTTTGGCTCTAGATTGAACCTCAAGGGAAGGGACAGATTTAACATAGCAACATAGGACCCGGGGAACATAGGACCCAGGGAACATAGGGCCCGGGGGAACATAGGGATGACCCCATTTCAATAGAATGCTTATTTAAACTTATAATCTGTAGCTTTTCTGTGAATTGTTAACTTGAGCACTGGTTCTCAAACCATGGTACACGTACCACCGGTGGTATGCGAGCTGCTACTGGTGGTATGAGGAGGAATGTCTGAAATATAAAAAAAGATGAAATTAATACATTTAGAAACATATAATACTATCAAAATAGAACAAAGTTTTGAGTGAAAATACTTGTAGCTGTATAAAGCTGAAATGTGATTTTTGCATTTCCTGTAATATTTTGTTTCAATATCAGCCTGTGGTCACGTTGATGCCAGTAGCGGGCACACACATATCCATGTTTAGTTACAAGCTAAAATGTGAAGGCAAGATAGTAAGCTGCCGTAAAATGAAAGGTTAAAAAATACTGCAATCGTGGATTCAAATGGGAACTATTGGAAAGAAAAGTGTGGACCAGGAGTACCCCTTTAACTAATAACTAAAGTCATAAACCTTTCCTATCACAGCATTATGTAAGAACCAATATGTAACCTGTAAGTGCTATAGGTAATCTGCCCTGAGTGACAAACTATACTAATAGGCTGATGTTTAGCAGGTATAATGTTTACCATGTTGCAACATTTTAGTTTAGCTATTGAAAAAAATAGCACAAGACCTGACAGCTGACAATGATGGAAAATGTTTTTTTGCAGATATTTGGTCATTAGTACTGGACAATCTTAAAGATTGGTGCTGGATAAAAATTCATTGGAACACCAAAGTCAGCAGGATTCAACCTCTGGCGGCCATATAAGTCAATGGCAATCCATCTGATTGTTGTAGTGGGGGACCGACCAAGAGACCAACATCACCATCCCTAGAGCCATCCCTCCAGCATGGCAAGACCATGGCGTACCAGAATTACCACAATCCCAGACAGAAGAGGAAACCAGAAACTCTGCAACATAGCAGGCCACCTGCTCTTTGTGACTGATGATAACATTAACAGTCCTCACTCACTTTGCACCCACAGAGATGAGAATACCTCTCTATGTCATGGCACTGGTGCTGCATTCACATGGATTCAGGCAGACGGTAGATGGTACCCACATTAGGTGAGCCTGGTAGAAAAAAACAGGCAACAGTAACATTAGACGGCTTCTGTACTGTTTGCCATCCTTCGCGACAGAATTTAAACCCGTTACATGTAGCTCCCGACCACAAGGAGCAAACATGGGCAATCTGGACAAAATGTCGTCCTCCCATTCCGTTTGTTTTTCCTGTGCTGTTTACCTGACTCCATGTGAATGTAGCACTATAACCATCTATCAAAAACATTTTCCAGGTGCCTTTTTGATCCCCTACTTGATCCTGCTGGTGTTGGAAGGAATGCCCCTCCTGCTGCTGGAGTTTGCCATCGGCCAGCGTCTCAGGAAAGGTAGCGTAGGAGTGTGGAGGGCCATCAACCCTTATCTGACTGGTATTGGTAAGTAAAATAAGATAGAGATAAATTATCACTGACGATCTGGCTTCCTGTGAGTGTGATGTCACAGTTCACCATGCTGTCCCTCAGGTATAGCGTCCATGCTGGTGTCATTTTTGGTTGGACTGTACTACAACACCTTAATAGCCTGGATCATCTGGTATCTCTTCAATTCCTTTCAAAGTCCGCTGCCTTGGGCCCAGTGTCCTCTCAATGACAACGGGACAGGTATTTGAATATACACACATTTTCAAGCCCACACCAAAGCACCCAGATTGCATCATTGTTTCTGTATATTTGTTGCCCCTGTAGGATATGTATCAGAGTGTCAACGGAGTTCCACGGTGGATTACTACTTTTATCGAGTGACTCTGAACAGTTCGGCCTCTATAGCTGACTCAGGAGGAATCCACTGGCCTATAGTAGTCTGCCTGTTAGTTGCATGGACTGTCGTCGCTATCTGCTGCATAAGGGGCATCAGCACTTCAGGCAAGGTTTGTTGAACCATCTGTCTATTGGATGTTTGCTATAAATTAAATGTAACCATAACTACAAAAACATGTAAGAATAACATATAAATTAAACTGAAACATTGAAAAATGAACACTTTCTGTGAAGAATAAACTGTTTTGACGTTATGCCAAAGACGCTGAAAATAGTTTCAGAAACAAATTTTTCTATTTTGTTTAACTAAGACTAGCTTAATTGCCATGGTAACTTATCGCAAAACACAACACACTTCATTTGAACTTGACCTAAACAAAATAAAACTCAAACCATCTTGGTTTGTGTTTCCACTGGTTTGGTCAAAATAAATCTAAATTCACTGAGTTAGATGTTAAAATATTCTAGCTCCACACGCTGATTTCCCCCTCTGCCTCTCTGATGCCCGATCTACCTCTGGCTCCTCACCTGCTTAAAGGGGCATTGTGTAGTGTTTTAAGTATTTTATTAGCTGAAATCAATGTCTTCATTCATAAATGTGTCCTCATTGGTGTAAAATTACCTCTGCCAATGATCTGACTTATCCTTGTAAGCGAAGAATTTCTTATCTGTATATACATCGGACGGGCAAATCCATGGAGGCTTTCATGTCGTTCCGCCATTTTGAAAAACTATAATCGGCGAGAGGGACATAAAGCACTAGCCTACCTGTCTAGCTAATCCACAACGCGTTTTCGTTCAGAGCCAGCGTCCCGTGACTGAAACCAGCTATAACGGAGAAGGCGATCATTGAGAGGCACTTGTCACTGCCCCGGCACATTTGAAAGTCTGCACTGCACTTTAGTTAATAATGGAGGATCATACTTATGCCGAGCCACAGGAGGAGGAATCCTCGTCGCCAAAAAAGCTAAAAAGGGAATTAAAAAGGCAACATGACCGGCAAATTAAAAAAACGAGGGTAAACATCGTGGTAGCTTTTCCCAGGTTGAAAGAGCTAATGAAGGAGAAAGACTTTCAAAGGGACGCTGAAGTTGCCTGCTTTCTCCTCGACAGGTAGGCTTCTTGGTACATAACGGCTACCGTAGTTGCAATACGCATTTGAAAACGCGAGGCACTAGAGAGCACTATTCGTTTGAATGCAAAATACAATTTCACTGCTAGATGGGAGAAATTCCTACACAATGTCCCTTTAACTCTTCTCCTGTTCCCGCTGGGTCTTCGTTCTCGCTGGAGTCAGAGTCCTGGTCAGAGCCACTCTAAATCACCTCTGTACTGTATTCCCTGTTGTCAGCCTGGCCTTCTCTGTCCTGGAGGTTGTGTTCAGTTACTGGTCTGGCCGTGTTTGCTGGGATTAGCAGTTTTTCAGGAGAGGATGTTGTCCTAACACGCTCCACTCTCACCTGTAAGCAAAGAATGTCACACTAAACTCCATTCACAAATTTTTTACTTCCCTTGCTCATATTCCATCAATCAAACTGGCCTTTGTTGCTCTCGAAAGATGTGTGCCCCCCCTCTTTATAATAAACCTTTTCTCCCAATATATTTTTGGTTTCCCCTTTTTTTGAGAATGAATTTGACAGGTGGTAAATTTTTACATATTGCACCTTTAAAACTCTTTTTGTGATGGAGATGACATTGTGTGGCAGAAAAACCGGGTTGGAAATGATATGTATAAAAAATAATTGTTAACCAACGTTTATACGTGACACAAAGTAACATCGATTTTGAAACAGAACTTTCTTATCTAAACAATAATGCATATTAAATCAGATTGCAAAAAATTGCATCTCATCTGCTCGCTCTGTGCGGAAATCTATGAGCAAGTTGCAAAGTTTGGACTTCATATTTAAAAAGTAAACAAGGAAGAAAAAGAAAGACAGTTTAACTTAAGAATGACGATCAAACCATAGAATAGACTGAAATGACATCTGTAGGTAACAAATTGAAGAGTTTAACTTCAAAATGAAATCACATTGAAACTACTTTTTACAAGTTTGATATTTGATACATTGATATATTTTTTTGTTCATAAAGACACAAACAAAAGGTTTAATATTTTTTTCAAGAAAAAGTTTTTCTTGGACATGTACTGCTTGCTCATGGTGGGAACTGTTGGGTCTCTGTAAATAATTTTATAAGGAGTACGGTCTAGACCTGCTCTATTTGAAAAGTGCCCTGAGATAACTTCGGTTATGAATTGGCGCTATACCAATTAAATTGAATTGAATTGAATTGAATTGAATTGAATTGAAATTGAATTGTTGAGACGAGTTAATAGAATAGAGAGGCACCACCCCAGATTTGGTGTGAGCCACTTCTGTATGTAGGCCTGTTGGTGGGAATCGCCGAAATGGACTGCTTGGATGTCATTCTCATTCTTACACATCTAGTTTTCTTCAAAAATCTATTTGCATTACAATACCACCCTCTCCTATATTTTCCTTCAGGGTTCTGAGAGCAGAATACTGATGTTGTTGTGTTGTAAGTTGGTCTGAAAAATCATCCAGCAGTGTACATAGACCCATGGACTTTTTCTGTTGCTGTGAAGTCAAATTTAAACTTTTTTTCCTCCTGTACACGCACTCTTTTGTTGTATTTGTACATGCTACAGAGACAGTTAGTTCACTGAGTTTGGTACACTTCCATAAGCTTCCACTTCCACTGCCATAAACTGGAGATTTGCATGTATTTTACAGAGGCATGTCTCTGTCTCTGATTGTTGGTTTAACAATCCAGACAAACTCACTGTATGAAACTGTAACTTCTGTTCTGTAACTGTTTGAGGGAAGCTTTTAGCAATTATGATACATTACTAAAATATGATATCCATTTATTTTTTTTCTTGTCATGACCTCAGGCAGTATATGTCACAGCCATCCTGCCTTACATAGTGCTGGGCATCTTCCTTATCCGAGGACTGACTCTTAAAGGCGCCCTGAGTGGAATAAAGTTCCTGTTCACACCAGACGTATGTTTCAAATCAATTTCAATTATATATCTGATATATAGCATATATATATTATATAGCTTAGGGCAACATCTCACTGTATATCTCTTGCAGGTTGATGAGTTGATTAATCCAACTACCTGGCTGGATGCAGGTGCTCAGGTCTTTTATGCCTTTGGTTTGGCATGGGGAGGCCTTATCTCCTTCTCAAGCTACAACCCTGTTCAGTAAGTGACATTTAGAAAACCTTACTTTGCAGTTAAAGTCTAATTTTGCTCAATTTGACTGGGAAATGGATCCAGACTCAAAGTCAACATTTGCCTTGGTTCTTTTGTGTATTTCTTTTCTCAAAGCAACAACTGCATGCAAGATGCTGTGATCCTGTCAGTCGTAACTGGCCTTACCTCGGTCTACGCTGCCGCAGTCACCTACTCCATCATTGGCTTCAGGGCCACAGAGAAATATGATAACTGTCTCAGTGAGTGAGTATAATTCATTTAAAAGTTTTGAAAAAAGTCAATTGGAACATTTCCATTACAATTGACGAACACATAAATGCAGATTTTACATCTAAAACTCCAATTCAATGGTCTATGTGTATATACTGAAGATTTTTTTCACATCTGTCTCAATAAATTATACAGTACATGCCCATATGTACATTGAAAGAGTTATTGGTTGCTGCTTTTCATTCCTCCTTTTTTGTACGTTGGGAAATGAACTGAAATAATTGCGGCTGTTTTGGTCAATCTATACTTATATTGGAGTCACACTAAGAGTTCACTTCACAGCGATAATGCACAAGAGGAATTATTACAGCAACCACTAACTCTTTTCTATATATATGTAGATATATATATATATATATCTACATATGGACATGCATATTGTATTAAGATAGAGTCGAAAATCTGAATGTATCTTTCATATTCCAGTTATCCAGAGTTACTAATCACCGACGCACTTTCTCCCTAGTAACATCATGAAATTATTAAATGCATTTGAGCTTCCTGAAGACAGCATCACTACGGGCAACTATGAGGCAGCCTTTAACCATCTCAACAGCTCCTACCCTAATATTGTTCCTGGATTGGACATCAAAACCTGCGACATGCAGAAACTTCTCAGTGAGGTGACTGTATTGATGGATATGATCAGATTTCTAAGTTATTATTTTAGTCTTATCTGCATTAGGACTAATGTGTGTGTTTGTCCAGGGAGTGGAGGGAACAGGTCTGGCCTTCATTGTATTTACAGAAGCCATCACCAAGATGCCGGGTTCTCCAATCTGGTCTGTCCTCTTTTTCGTCATGCTTCTCTGCTTGGGACTCTCAACCCTGTTTGGCAACATTGAAGGAGTGGTGGTTCCACTGAAAGACCTCAATGTATTTCCTAAAAAATGGCCTCATGAAGCACTGACTGGTAACTCGGCTTTAAAATTCAACGCAATCAATTCGCCAGCTTTTCATTTCAATAAACCATCTTTGGTGTTTGTCTTTGGTGTCTGTACTAACACAAGCTCCCTATGTTTTTGTGCATGTGTGTTTCAGGAATAACATGTGTTGTCGCCTTCATCATCTGCCTCCTGTTCACCCAGCACTCAGGGATTTATTGGGTAACTCTGTTTGACACCTTCGCCGGATCTGTTCCACTTCTAACCATTGGATTGTTTGAGATGATAGCTGTTGTTTACGTCTACGGCATAGACAGGTCAGTGCTTATTCAAACTGTTTTCCTTTTGTGTTTGCCCTGCATCTTGATATTTGCTGCAAAACTACAATATTAACATCATGCTGTGCCAGTCATTGAGCAAAACGTATGCAGTTGGCTGACCTATTGTAAAGTCCTGTGTAACAGGAATTATTTTGTGACATATTTCAAAACTTTTCAAAACTTTTTAAAACCTTCTTGTGTGGCAGGTTCAATGCGGACTTGGAGTTCATGGTCGGACGTAAGCCCTCCATCTTCTGGCAGGTTACATGGAGGTTCATCAGTCCTCTAATCGTTCTGGTCATTTTAGTTTTCTACCTGGTGACACAAGCCCAAAAAGAGCTCACATATTTAGTCTGGGATCCCAACTCTGTAAGCACACAAGCTCTGTAATCAATTAATATATCATCCTAAGCATCCCTACTTTATTTGCCCTTTTGCCTTGCCATTGCATACCAAATGCACTAATCATACTGTTCTATGGTTTACAGGAGAAGTTCCCGTCTCTGGTGTCAGTACCGTATCCATCATGGATCTACGTGATCATCTTTCTTTTGGCAGGAATCCCCAGTCTAGCAGTTCCTCTGTATGCTTTATGTAGGCTGGTCTTTGTTTGCTGTAAGAAGAAAATAGTACCAAGACAAAACATTAGTGACTAAAAAATTTGCCAGATGTCCTAAACTGTTTACTGATGCTTTATTGATGCACTTCAGAAAGGTGCTGACATTCTGCTCATGTTTTGTGCAAATTCATTGCTGCTGTGTCAATATACTGTACTTCAATCCAGGTTTTATACCTGTTTATCCTTGCCGTTTAAATCATTTCTGTCTCTGTGAAATATAATTTTACCTATGTAACCTCACAACAAATGACTAATAAAATGTATACTAAATCTACCAATATGTAAAAATGTCTACCTATCAATAGATAAACAATACAGAAAATATGATGTGAGTTGTATGTAGCTGGGCGTGAATTAATGCATGAATTTTCTACAATTTGGAAAACTTAACAGGTATAGACAGGTTAGACATAAACGTCACACTGACTCAGGTCAGATGCAAAGCACAACATACTGTAAGGAGTGATAGGGACAGTCGAGTCAGCAATGTTTAAGGTGCTTTAACTGTTAAATTATTCACTGACTAATATAACTGGAAAAATAAATCCCTTATTCAAGCACTCATCCAACTATAGTATTGTACTTATACAATTCTAATATTATAATAAATGAAAGATCAGCAGTCTGTAGTATTATTTAGTATGCAATAAATAACATAATAACTTATAATAAGTAACTTAAATAACTAATAATAAAAACTAAAAATAAGTTTTATTGAGGTCAGCCTTTCACTGAACTTTGCCTCTTGATCATTTGGTCCACTTGATTAACTATTATCATTTGATGATTCACAAAATTGATAAAAGCAAGAGTGTCTTATATAATGACTGAAATCTACATGGTCCAAGCTCATCAATGGTTCCATCAGTCAATAAATACATTCTGGGGGAGTTTCAGAAGTGGGGGATACAATGAATTTGCTAGATTTAGAGAGTCCTCGTAGTTTTTTCAAACTGTAAAAAAAAGTTGACAGTTCTAATCTAACAAAAACAAAATCTGTTAAGTAGACTAGATTGGAAATGTGCAAGTTGTAAAGTCTCCTATGATCCAAAGTCTGATTGTGCGTTGGAAATGTCACTAAACCACAAGTGTTTTAGAATTTCTTCTCAAATTAATTTCAGATGTTTCAACCAAGGTGGCTCTACAATGTACCTAAAGCTAACAAGATGCCTCAAGATTAGATAATAAAACAGTAGCCTTAAGGCCTTTATCGACTGTGTTATTAATGTTTTAGTTCTAAATCTCAAACAAAGATGCAAATAAATTAGCACAACCAAACACAGAAAGGCTGTAAGGTTTGGGGGCCTTTTGAGTTCTGTCAGCAGCCCACTATGCCCAGTAGGTAATGCAACCTTTGGTATGCCTGCTGTAAAAGAAACAGCAAAGTAACAAAAAAAATATGTCCATCTCCATGTTAAAACACATGTCAAAGTGTAAATAGTAAGTAGACTGATGTATAATACCTTCGCAGATGAATTATCATCAATGGCCAGGACAATCGGAAATTGTGTCTCCTGTCAGTTTTAAGTAGTAACTGAATCTTAACTTTGTTTTACCATGATACTGTCACTGACCTTTTATTGTCAGTGATTGAGTTAATAAATCCAGTGGCATGGTTGCAGCCAGGTAAAACCTTACTTGACTGCAACAATGGTAGTTTTGCGAACCCTCTGTCTCACAATATTCTTGGAGCTGTGAGCAGGACTCATCATCAACGACAGCACCTCAGTCAGTGTACTCTGTAACGGTTATCTGTCCCGTTGCAACACAACAATCTGACTAATGCATGGGAGAGTGAGTTTCATACTGGGGGAAAGGTGGGGAACTCCCTGGACCAGTGGATTCAAAGTCAGGATCTTCTTGCTCTGAGGGGACTGTGCCAACTACCATGCCATTCTTTTATATGTTTATGTGTGTTAAATATGCATATGTATTATTAAATTGAATGACTGTATGGCGGTGGTATAAAAACAGAAGTGCAAAGTATGCACTGGCTAATCTGTCGAACGCACCAATAAAGTGAGATCATAAACTTGTTTCAAGATTGCCCGGTGCATGCACCAAGCACTCATTTTGACTTCAAGGAACGTCAGTATAACATCACTGCTTCAGAGGGGTCGCCATGAGACTGGTACTTCCTAACCCAGGCCTGGATCTTAGGATCCCTTCCTATGAGGATCTGGAAAGAATGGAGAAGGAGGAGGCCGGGGACAGGCCCAAGTGGGATAACAAAGCCCAGTACATCCTAACCTGTGTGGGCTTCTGCATTGGGATTGGCAATGTGTGGCGATTCCCTTACTTATGTCAAAGTCATGGAGGAGGTAAGCTCAGAGGAAAATGATAAAGGGGAACCTTATGGTTAAGTTTCTATAGACTTTCAGTTCTTGAATTGTTGTTATTAGATGATTGTAAAAATTAAGTGTGGTTGAGGTACGCAGGACTAGCCTACTGTATAGCTTTTTGGTATTTTTGTCTCTTTCAAACAAGATTTTCCTAGTGGTACACAATTAGTAAAAAAGGACACCGCTGATATTGAAGGATGAAACTGTGAACCTTTCACTTTCAAAAGATCACTTGTCCTTTGTGCACTTTTCAAAAGGGACTTTGAAGTACATCTGGAATACTTTATATTGAGCCACAGGGGATGAGACTGTTTTCAGAATCAGAATCAGAATCAGAATCAGAAATACTTTAATAATCCCCGTGGGGAAATTACTTGTACGGGGGGAGGAAAAGGGGGAGAAAAACAAGAGGAGAGGGGAGGAGAAAAAAAAGCAGCACCCAGACTCTGCTCCTGTGGGGGAGTACAGTGTGGGACTGGGAAAAAAACCTCAGCAACATAAGCACATATGAGCACACTTTACAACATAAAAACTCAAAACAACTTGCAACGGGGGAGGTGGGACAGGGGGGGTGGAGGCCTACCAGCGCAGACAGGCAGCCGCGGCGCAGCCAGCATCGGCGCAGCCAGCAGAACCCCGCTTGTCACACTGAGGGTAAAAAGCGGCGAAGGCGTGGGATGGGGGGGGGGTAGAGGGGTGTGTTGATGTAAGTGTCCATGGGTGTGTGTGTGCACATGAGCCTTCAAACACTTATCTAACAAATCTAATGAATTTGGTCATTTCTGTAAACTAGATGTTCAAGCCCTTGTGCTATATTCACTTCATGGATGGTAGAACTGGGAACAGTTTGTATAAGTGCAGCATGAGAGGGTTAATTTCATCAACTCAACTCAAGACAGTTGTAAGATTGCAAAGATGGCTTTATGGAGGTGAAAAATACTGCACAAAATCGTACAATATAGCACTATCTCCATTCAATTGGTTTTTATTACCTTGAATGATGGACTTTGACTCGTGAGGTGTTTGGTTTTCAACTTGGATGTTGACAAGGAAACAAATAGTAAAAGCTATATTACAGTAACTACAACAAAAATATATTGCATGGGAGCAGCATTAGAGCCAAAATTGCCTTAATCTGTCTACTAAAACTAGCAACCCTGCAAGCTAGCTAGCTAGCTTGATTAGCTAGAGCTTACTCATAACAAATACCAGTAACTTAGACCAGTGGTACCCAACCTGGGGGTCAGACCCCCACTAGGGGACACCAAAGCTTCATAGGGGGTCACAAGGCCTTCTTGATTTAAAGGCATGCTAGAAAACTTAAGAAATATAAACAGTAGGCCTATATCTCAGCATTCAATTCGTTTCTAGGAGGAAAACAAAATGAAAATGTTTTTCTTAAATCAAACATTTTAAGTAAAACTAACTCAATTTTGTAAGCTAAAAACAACATTCTTAATAATGTAGCTTTGGTAATTTTAAGTGACACTGACTGACAGGATTGTATAAAAGTTAAAATATCTCTGATGCAGTATTCTTAGTAAAGTAAATGCTCAAAATTAATCCAAATCGCTCGTTTTATACAAACTCCCTGCAGTTATTGTGTTCACTATTTGGGTTTACTCAATGATAGAAAAGAGGTCTGTTAAGGAAAACTACACTATACATCTTAAAATAGTTGCCAAACATATATAACGGTACAGTCAGTTTAGCTGAGCAGACAAATTACACACAGATTTGTGCACAGTATAGGTTTAGCACAAATTCAGTTTAAGGGAAAACTTTATGCACTTGGAGGCTCAGCACAAATGTAGCATGAAGTGTTCAATGACCAATCGAACTCCACCTACCAACTTCCTGCAGGGAGAAAACACAGTGGAGCACAAAAAGCTGACAGGCAGAGCGGGTTAAGCCAACACGAGGGTTATTACTACTATCATGCACTGTTAACAGGTGGTGCCATGCCACTGTTTACAGCCCAGACTAAACAGCTTTATTTGCCAACTAAAGTCTTTTCATATTTAGGATAGTTAAAAGGCCTATAATTGTCATAAATGCAACAATAAAGATGTATAATTGTGCTCCTGACCATACATTGTCCAGGTGCCTTTTTGATCCCCTACCTGATCCTGCTGGTGCTGGAAGGAATGCCCCTCCTGCTGCTGGAGTTTGCCATCGGCCAGCGTCTCAGGAAAGGCAGCGTGGGAGTGTGGAGGGCCATCAACCCTTATCTGACTGGTATTGGTAAGTAAAATAGGGATAAGTTATCACTGACTATCTGGCATCCTGTGAGTGTGATGTCACAGTTCACCATGCTGTCCCTCAGGTATAGCGTCCATGCTTGTTTCCTTATTGATTGGACTGTACTACAACACCTTAATAGCCTGGATCATGTGGTATCTCTTCAATTCCTTTCAAAGCCCACTGCCTTGGACCCAGTGTCCTCTCAATGACAACGGGACAGGTATTTGAATATACACACAGAGATACACATTAAGCACCCAAACTCTACTCATAATTACAACATTTGCAGACCACTGTTTCTCGCCCCTGTAGGATATGTATCAGAGTGTCAACGGAGCTCCACTGTGGATTACTACTTTTATCGAGTGACTCTGAACAGTACGACCTCTATAGCTGACTCTGGAGGAATCCACTGGCCTATAGTAGTCTGCCTGTTAGCTGCATGGACCGTCATAGGTATCTGCTACATAAGGGGCATCAGCACTTCAGGCAAGGTTTGTGGAACCGTCAGTCAAACATTATGCCTTCCTGAATCGCCACAATTATTAAATGTCTTTTCTTTTCTTGTCATGACCTCAGGCAGTATATGTCACAGCCATCCTGCCTTATATAGTGCTGGGTATCTTCCTTATCCGAGGACTGACTCTTAAAGGGTCCCTGAGTGGAATAAAGTTCCTGTTCACACCAG